TGAGCATTGCAAGTTGGAGAAGATCTTCCTTTTCCCCAGGTCATCCAAGCAATCTTTTGACAGCAAACGGAATCCACAAATCAAATATCTCCTTCCCGAAGCCATGGAAGCTGTTGCTGATCCATTGACATTGTGCTGAAAACTAGGATGTCAGTCTATTACAAAGCAATCATGCCATCCAGTGATCTACTTCATTAAGAAGCTTAACTGAGTGACAAGATATTCCAGTGGGGAGCCATGATAAATTATCCAAGAGTTAGAGGTCTTGGGGACTGAGCAATTCAAATGTCATGACTCCTTTGGCTTACGTGTTGACTGCAGATAGTGCTTATCTGTTCTATGAAATGCTCAAGGGCACCCTTTTTGATGTTCTTCACGGCAGTGTTGGAAATGCTTTAGATTGGGCGAGCCGTTACAGTATAGCCAGGAATAGCTCAGGGTATAGCTTTTCTACATGGATGGACCTCAAGTCAATTCTCCTCCTTGATCTATCAGTAGGAACATTATGCTGAAGTCGTGAAAGAGCCGCAAGTTGGAGACATTGAACTCTGCAAAGTGATTGACCCCTCAAAGAGCACTGGCACCTCTCCATGGTTGCTGGTTCTGCGGTCGTTATATTCCTCCTGGTAACCTCTTTCTACTGATTTTATAGTCAATAATTTCTCAAATTATGTTCGCTTTTACATTCATCTGGTCTTGCTGCACATATGACCTATTCATAAAATCTTCAGAAATATCTGGAATTCAAAAATATATTCCTTAGTTTTTTAGATAATTCCTTGGTTACAAATTACAATGCATGTTTCCTTCTGATATGCATCATAATTTCATACTCAAAACTGCTCCTGATTTATTCAGTTGTATCTTCAATAATTTTCTCAAATTAATCATTGGCCTCCACCGATCATATATCTTCACAGATGATTCCAAAATTTCTGTTAAAGCCTTTGAGGTCTCTCTTTTGGTCATTGCAGAGTACGCTTACACAAGAGAGTAACAATGGCTGGGAACGTTTACAGTTTCGGGGTTGTTCTCCTGGAGTTGCTAACAGGAAACCTGCAGTTTGTGAGGGCACTGAGTTAGCCAAATTGGTACTAGCAACTCAGCACAGCGTGATAAATGGGATCACATCCTTGATTTTACTGTCAGCAGAACATCACTAGTTGTCCAAACCGATGCTTGCAGTCCTCAAGGTTGCCATTGCATGTGTTATGTATCCCCTGAAGCAAGGCCAAAGATGAAGAGCGTGCTGCGGATGCTCCTGAATGCAAGATAAACCTTTGGTGAGAAGAAAATGGGACACTCCACACTCGACAACACAAGATAGAGCCTTTTGCTTCCTGAGTTAAAGCAAATTGGAGTTAGAATTAGCATTATATAATATACGTAAGATGGTTTTCTGATTTTTTGATCCCATGTTTCCATTATATATGTACAATAATAGCTTTTAGCCATACAAAGAATGCTTTCCTGTAAGCCAATCTGCATGTAAAACAAGGTTCTGAAACCCGGACCGACCGCGTTCGAACCGTTCGGACCACCACCCGCTGCATTTCCGTTTGAAGAGAGTAATAACCGGGATTTGCCAAAACCTTTTCAACCGCGGTTGAACCGTCGCACTGTACAAACCGACGGTCCAACTGTTATTTAAAAAAATTTCCGGTCCACACATTTCCGTTTAACACATGAAAATGAAATAAAAAAAAAAAATTTAAATTCAAAACAATCACATGCACACATATAAAAGTCAAACTGTTGTCAGACTCAAACCAAACCCTCAAAATACTTTTATTAAAAAACACATTCTTTTTACTTTTGGCTACAGAACACTGAAGTCTGATACAGAGCCGTCGCCTTCTTCCTTCATTTTTTCACTTTTTCTTGGTTTGCCGTTTGCTGCTGCTGCCATTCACGATCTCCTCCAGTCTAGTCCTCCTCTTCGTGTCCTCCATCGAGATCTCAACATTCTTTTACTTTTGGCTACAGATACACTGATACAGAGCCGTCGCCTCTTCCTTCAATTTTTCACTTTTTCTTCTGGTTTGTCGTTTGCTGCTGCCATCACGATCTCTTCCAGTCTAGTCCTCCTCTTCGTGCCTCCATTCAAGATCCCAGAAGCAATGTCAAATCTCCTCAAGCTTCAGCTAAGCTTCAGCGCCTCACGTCTTCACTCTTCAGTCTTCAAGTCTTCGGTCTGCAGTCTGCTCTATTCTGCTTCAGCGCTTCATTCTTCAACTTCCAGTCTTCTAGTCTTCAACGTGAACTCTTCATCATCACCATCTCCATTGCTGATCTGCCGGATAAGTCATTTCAGCTCAGATTTCAGCTTCAGCCTTCACATCTGCTGCCGTCTGCCGCCGTCTGCTGCCATCTACGAGCTGCCATTTGCCGTGACCTTCTATTGAATTTTTTTGTGATTGGGTTGGTGGAATGGATTGATATTATGTAATTTTATATGTTGGTTGGTGGATTGGTAGGTATTTTGATATTTTGTAATTTTGATGGTTGGCCGTTTGTGGATTCATATTTGATAATTGATGATATTACTTTGTAATGACTTTAAGTCTTTAATATTGTTTGAAACTTTAGAGTTTAGACTTTAGACTTGAGGATTGAATTTGTAAACTTTAACTATCAAACTTTGATGGTTTTATTATTGTTGTAGCCTAGGGTTGGTTTGATGGTTTTTAAAGTTTAAATTTTAATTAGATGGAGAAATTATTGTTGTAGAGTTGGTTTGATGGTTTTTAAACTTTAATTAGATAAAGAAATTATTGTTGTAGGGTTGTTTTTTATGGTTTTTAAACTTTAATTAGATAGAAAATTTGAATTTTTTGGCTTTTTTTACATTTTTTCTTATTTCAGCATGCTGATATCAGCATGACATTATGCTAATGTCATCATGCTGACATCACCGGTCTGACCGACCGGTCGGACTGGTCAAACCGTTCGAACCGGGAACCGACCGTTTGGTCGGGTCGGCTTCCGGTCCGGTTTTCAGAACATTGATGTAAAATGGGTTTTTTTTGGTATATTAAAGAATTCTATCTAAGATCCTGTGGAATTCACAAGATCATTTTTACCTCTGAAATAAAAAGGTTAAAATTGATCGTTTATTTTTCATTGAGATTAATGGAAATGAAGAAACATAAAAATGCATATAACTATATAACAATCATAAAAATTATTTAATCTCACTATTATACTTTATGAAAAAAAGTTTAGAATCTGATCTAGACCAATCTTAGTTCTAAAAACAAAAAAATTAAATTAAAAATCCATTTCACGAATTTGCTTTATATTTTCATGCAAACGTACTCATTTAAAACACATCCCACAAGGACTCAAGATTTATAAAGTGATTTACATTCTCATACGTTATAGCCCGTTAGATGTAACAAATTAACAATATATCGAAAGTTTTTAATATGTTTTATAATTTGAGAATTGGAAAAACAAAAAAAAAAAAATATTCTAAAAGCACCTCCATTTATCATGTATAAATATATTGTTAATCGTATTTGGGGGTCAATTAATCATTGACTTAGAAAATTTAAGTTGATTCAAAAGAGTTACCTTTTGAAATAATGACAATCACAAAAAAAAAATAAATAAATAAATAAATAAAAAATGGAGGGGGACAATACGTTTAATTAAAGTGTAGGTTTTAAAATAAATTTGCCATAATCAATTTACTTAAAATAATGGATGTGAAGTTGAAGCCTGAGCTGGTTTCTCTTGTCTCTTGGTATTCATAAAATCTTAGAAGCAACAACACTCCTGACATAGACAGCCATAATTCACTCTGTTTTAAAAAGGGCATCGGACCAGGACTGGCAGCTTCTCCGATCCTGTTCAGGTCTTAGAGGGGTTTTTGCAATATTTCAAAATTATGAAGGTTACTTTGTAAATTTATAGGGGTGTTTTGGAGATATCTCAAAAGTTTAGGAATTAGTTGAATTTTTTTGGGGGCATTTTTGAAATAAATAAAAATTTTAGGGACTAATTATTTTTAGGGTTTTTGTAATATATTAAAATTTAAAGGATTAATATGTAATTTTTTAAAAATAAAATTATTGCTAATGTCATCGGTCTAACCTGTTGGACTGGTTGACCCATGACCTAAGCAGTAAAATGGATTACATTTCGGTCCGAGTTTTAAAACAATGATAATTCATCAAATAATTTAGAGTAAAGAACTTTTTCCCACCGTTCTCACACAAAAAGTTTTAAAATACTGCTTTCCCATCCAAAGTTAATATTCCGTTACTACCCAAAACTGATTCTGACGACGAAAATTCTCTCTGTCAGTACCATTTGAACCTTCGGTTTTCTCTTTACAAAACCCCTCTCACTCTAGCACTTGGGTTTTCATCGATTGCCGACCATCACGAATCTAGGGTTTCCTATTCTTCGTTGATTTTCGACTGATCCTGACAACGAATATTCAATCGGTCATCACCATTCAATCCACCAACCTCACTCTATAAAAACCCTCTTACCCTAGCTTTTGATAACTCATTGAACGCTGACTGAGAAAATGAAATATATTTTACGTATTAACGAAATATAAATAATAAGTAAGAAGTGATATTTTAAAACCTTTTGGATGAAAAAGTGTCACTAAGGCAAACCTTGGGTGGGAAAAAGCCGTCTACTCAATAATTTACAATAAATAATTAATTAATTTACTTATAAAATTATAATAACATATTTGAAGAACACTTTCGCGAGGGAGTATCAGTATTCAGTACTCAGCAGTACCAAAAACTTGCTAAAGCATTAGCTGGTTCCTCATTGTTTAGTATTCATTTAAATCATCGAGATCGAGTCTTTTTTTTTTTAAATACATTTTCGAGTATTTCCAGAATTAACGAATATGTAAATCTATCCATCCTTGCTACTACGCCACACCAAAAATCTACGCAGTAGCAAGAACAAAGCCATAGGCAGCTTCGCCATAATATCATAATTCAACAATATTCAAAATTTTAAGCATCCTGAAATATGATATTTTTTATTGTTTCTCAGCCGCAAGATACATATAAAAAATTGTAACGATTGGTTCAACCTTACAGAGACAATAAGCTCAAACCCATATACTAAGAAGTGGAAGAACTCTTAACTGTGAAATGCTAAAACATTCTCTTGGATTCTGCATACTTACCTTTTCCCCCAGCAAGAATCTTAGAGATCTGGAGATCTCTAACAAATGCTTATTTGAAAAGCAGGCGAGTTTGCAACGCTGATACACTTGGGAACCATGACAAAATGGCAATAGGAGCAAAAATTACCAGTCCCATCGCATAGTCATAAGCTTGAGCAAGCTCTTTTATTGATTCCCATAATCCCAACGCTTTAAACAATGGCCGGCACACTTGCGCTATCTGCGAAGAGCAAAACAAAATAAAATGATGGTTAGTATGTTCCCAAATTTCTCGCAAAAAGTTTTATAGCTCGTCAGCTAAAGAAATAATCAAAATCTTGTAATTTCTGGGAAAAGAAAACAGCAAGGATTAAGGAACGATATTTCAAAATACATTAAATGTTCAATGCAGGAAAAATTCAAACTTTGGAAATAATCAGATTTGTATTTGAGCAGGAATATAGAAGTAGTTCTGGAGATAAAAAAAGGGTTATTTGTTTCAAAGGGTTAAATATCAACCTTTTTCATTACATGCACTTGAGAGTTGGGACAGCAAGATATTGCTTAATTTGGAACATTTTAATTAAAAAAAATGGGTAATCTGAAACGCTGTCCCAGTTTATAACTTAATTGACAATATCTGGAATATACTTCTTAAATCTTTCGATGTTTAAACTTACCAAAATAAGCGCCCACCCTGTGGGAATGAAAGCAAGGAAACAAGCAAATAAATCTGATACGGTGAGTCCAAAGTTGACAAATAAGACAGCCATGCCTACCGCAAGATAAAGGGTTATAAATGCCTTGAGACTCATGACTATCAATGGGAAGTTGATAAGTATTCTTCTACAAATGGACATCATCTAATAGCAACAAAAGAAACAACCAAATGATAAGTACACTTCAACAAAACTTTTAACAAAGGGTTTATGATTAACTAGCACTAATAACAACTAAATCGTTTAGCTCTTCTAGAACACTTTCAATAAATTTGACAGATGATTTAATCACCTTCTTTAATCTACCTCAAATCATGATTCTTTCAGTAATGTGAGAATCATTGCATACCTTTAAAACAAGAAGCACAGATACTGGAACTATCCAAGAGATTCCATAAACCTATGAAGAATGGAAGTATATAATAAAAATGGCAGAATGCTTCACGAAAATATAACTCACAGACCAATAAGCAAACCATATTATTGAAAGAAACAAACCATACCAGTAAACTCTTGTTGTGTTTAGCTATATCAAGGTAGTAGACAATTCCATATTGATAAATGAAGTTGCGAAATACAAGGATAATCTCAAGAATCCTTCCCCTTATAGTTGTGCCTCTGAGGTGTTCTTGTTCTGCATTCCACCACGATTCCCAGCTTTTATCAATCTGGGTCCCAATATCACCGGGATTTCCCATCCACTTCTTCCAATCTGTCCAATCATCTATTGTTTTTCGCATGTCAAAACCAGATGGATTGAACAAAAAAGGAGCATACAACCAGGAACCAACTAGAAACCACATTGAGAATATGATAAATGAGTAAAGATTTGAATTTCGATATGATTCCCCATAAAGTTCATACAGGACCAATAGTATAACGAGCTCCAATGCCTTCACAAAGTGACTTCGGGAGTACAATCTATAGTTTTCAGAAAACTTTGCATGAACAGAAACAAAGCCAAGACCAGTAGCTTGATAGTTAGAACCTCCATGCAGGATTGTTCTGCCATAATGATGTGCTTTCGTTCCAAGCTGGAACGTAAAGAAAACAGATGCCAATTGCAGCTGCATAATGATAAAATCACAAAAAGCAGCACGAAATCCTTTTTCCAGGCCAATCTCCAGAACCATTGGAAGCATTGACAACAAGCCAAGCTGATTGACAGATTGGACAGCCAAAGCTTCTTCGAGGGCCTTGCTTTGATGTATGGTTGTTATACCAAGAATATATCTTTCAGCACCACTCATAACCAGGTATATATGTCCATATAAGAATACGTATATGGTTAGCATGGTCACCTGAGAAAACATCACATATTAATTGAATTGAGCATTATCCATATACTCCAATTTACACAGTTTTAGTAGTATTGCTTGAGAAAACATGTCTTGTAACTAGGACTAGCCTAGAGCCTGTTGATATCTGTATACCCTTTCTATAAGTGACAAAACTTAAAATTCAATTAACTTGGATCATATATTTATGTTTTGTTCTAAGAAATTATATATGTAAGATATTGGTTGCCTCAACAAGCAGTTGGTCTAAACAAAATATAAACCCTAAATATACTGACTGGCATTGCTAAAAAATGTAAACAATGAAACAAGTGTGGTTAACATACCATGCTACTAAAGTAGAATCCAACCGTTGAAAAATAGAATGAAAGCATTCTATAGAAGTCAAACGAGTGCCCAAGCCGATAAACATCACGGCTAAGTGTCTGCTCTCCATTTCCGTTAGCAACCTTTGCCTCAAATAATGATATCTGATTCATTCCCACACCACGCCCCTTGCCTACTTGGATATATTCACGATGTACTATATTACCCCCCCGCAAAGTTGAATTAAACCCTGTAGATTTCAACACAATTAGCTACAAATTACACAAAGAAGTTTGTGTATTCTGATGAAGTTTTTACCTGCAAATATGTCCTGGCTTAAGTTGATTATCTTTGAAGCTTTACTAATGCCACCCCTTGTTATGTGAAAGATTCGATCAAATATATCAGGATGACCATAATGAAACCTTACCCTGGAAATATAGAATGGAAAACTTAATGAAAACTCATGATAATAAGATAGAAAATAAGTCAGTTAGTACAAAACTTAGACGGACATAAAAGATGGACTTTAAACAATCATTGACATATTTGGCAGCTGGATTCAAAGGATAGCAAATGAGAGAAGATGTTAATCACCAACAAAGTAACAGACAAGAAAAAAGAAAAAAAATTACAAATTTCTTAACACATCATAACTCAAATGGTTCACATCAAGTATATTTGAATTAAACAAATAATTCAATCATATGATTGAATATGTTATTACATGCAATTTCCTCATTTTCTATAAGAGGTAAAGCGGATCAAGTGACACTGCCAAGATGGCTTTGATGGTCACTTAGAAATTAGTTATTTTAGGGTTAGAAGTGCAGTACAGAGGTTTCAGAGTTATCGGAAGAAGAAAGGTGTTATCTGGTATTTTTCAAAGGCAAATAGATTACGGTTTAGACAGTGAACAAAATATAGAGAATTTTATTACAATATAATTTGGCTTTATCCATGCTCATGTTCTGGTAGATAAGTCTCTTTCCCCAAAATTTCCCTTTCATTTCATGACCTTTATTATGCCTCATATTTATTGCAATGTCTACTAATGTAGAAACAATAGAGTACATTTTACATCATAAGATACTAATCATGATTCTCAAATATTGGTTGCTACTTAATATGTCCGCACCATTTTTACTCTTCAATACTATTTTTTTAAACTTTTAACTGACCTAAATTGCAATTTAAGCACTTAGCTAGTCATGTAAGAGGAATTTACTCGTAGGGTGTGTTTGACATTGGACTTGCTACAGATGTATATTTGGTAGTTATAGGTTTTATATATATTTAGAAGTTAATTTCCAGGATTATAAGGATCACATTGATATTGCATCCTAATATAGATTGATCACATACCTATTTAGAATACTACAAGTGTATAGATATATATATGTATTCTTTTTCTCTATGAAAAAGACAAGTGGAATATTCATTCTTAATACTTGTTATATGATATCAGAGCCAATAAAAAAAGGTGATTAGAGTTTGGGTTTCAAATTGAGAACACCATGTTAGAGTGAGATTTGTTCGACACCACCGCCCTAGGAAGATTCAGAAGCCGCCGATCGGCAAAACCTTGAGTTCCGACAATCAGAATCTCCGTGCATGAGCCCCACGCGCCACCCAAAGCTCCGGTCACCAGTACCATGCGCCGGTGCGTGAGCGCACGTCCACCATTGACGTCTCCTCCAGTTCTCTTCGTCTGCTTCGTCGACACTTGTACAGCAGATTTTTGTGCTGGGCTTTGGTAATATCTTACTGGTTACTGTTGTCCTTCGTTTGTTTATTGGATTTTTCCTGTGCTTTGGTCTCTGGTTGGTTGTGGCTGTTGATTGATTTGGTGTGTCGCTGAGGTTTGGTTAATTTGCTTTGTTTTAACCGTTTGTTGGTGTACATTGGGATTATTGTTTGTTTAAGACATGTTTGATACAAAGCTAATGGTAGAAATGATACCGACAATGTTGAAAATTACAGAACATAAGCTCATTAGTATAACTAATTACCATGATTGGCGTACAACTGTTAGACTGTATTTGCGGAGTATTGATAAAGATGATCATATGACTGATGATCCACCTAAGGATGATTCGAAAAAGACATGGCTCCGAGATGATGCTCGGTTGATTCTACAAATACGGAACTCTATTGACGGTGAGGTACTTGACCTAATTAATCATTGTGAGTTTATTAAAGAACTGATGGATTATTTGGAGTTTCTGTATTCTGGAAAAGGGAATGTTTCTCATATTTATGAAGTATGTAAGGCATTCTACCGTGCAGAGAAACAAGATAAGTCTCTTACAGCTTATTTTATGGAGTTTAAGAAGACTTATGAAGTGTTGAACATGTTGTTACCTTTCAGTGTTGATGTAAAGGTTCAACAAAAACAATGGGAGCAAATGGTAGTCATGAGTTTTCTTGCAGGTCTTCCTTCTGAATTTGAGACTGCTAAGTCTCAGGTTCTAACCAGTCCAGAGATCTCTTCGTTGCAGGATGTCTTTAGTAGGGTACTTCGCACATAAGGTACCCCACCGGTTCAGTTCAGTGGTGCTCTCATCGGTCAAAAGAATGACTATGAATCTGGGCGATCACAATTTGGAAATAGCAACAAAAGAGGGGGGTCAAATAGTAATATGGGAGGAATTGTGTGTCACTATTGCCATAAGCCAGGACACATGAAGCGTGCTTATAGAAAGCTTCAGAACAGAACTAAAAGAAATCCCCCTGCCCATGTTGCATCCACCAATGATACTTCTGATCAGTCAGTTCTCATCTCTGCAGATGAATTTGCCAAGTTATCATTGTACCAGGAATCATTAAAAGCTTCATCTACTCTTGTCACGGCTATGGCCGACTCAGGTAAGCCAAATACATGTCTCCTTACCTCATCCTCCAAATTCATCATTGACTCTGGTGCAACAGATCACATGTCAAGTAATCTCAGTTTCTTTGCTACTTATCAATCAAAAACCCTTTCAAATGTGACTTTAGCAGACGGGTCACCATCGTACGTTCTTAGGTCTGGCACAGTTACCCCTACCCCACAGTTTCCCTTGTCAAATGTCTTACATTTACCAAATTTTTCTTTCAATTTAATTTCTATTAACCAACTTACTCGTGCTCTTAACTGTTGTGTTTTATTCTTTCCCGATTATTGCTTGTTTCAGGATCTTACGACGAAAAAAATTATTGGTAAAGGACATGAATCTGGAGGTTTATATATTCTTGACAAACCAAAATCTACACGTCGCTTGTTCTAGTGTTGTATCCTGGTTTCAAGCACATTGTCGTTTGGGCCATCCATCTCTTCCTTCACTGAAAAAATTGTCCTCAGTTTAATAAAGTGTCTACATTAGAGTGTCAGTCATGTCAGTTTGCTAAACATCGTCGTGTCAATTCCAGTCCTAGAGTCAATAAAAGAGCTAACTCTCCCTTTGAATTAGTTCACTCTGATGTTTGGGGTCCCTATCCAGTTCTGTCTAAAACTAGTTTTAGATATTTGGTTACATTTGTGGAGGATTACTCTCGTATGACTTGGTTATTCTTAATGAAAAATCGCTCTAATTTGTTTTCTTATTTTTGTACTTTTTGTGCTGAGATTAAAACTCAATTCAATGTTTCTATTCATACGTTGCGCAATGATAATGCAAAAAAATATATGTCAATTTCTTTTCAAAATTACATGACTCAAAACGGCATTCTTCATCAAACTTCATATGTTGATACTCTATCTCAAAACGGAATAGCAAAACGGAAAAACAGACATCTTCTTGAAATTGTCAGAGCCTTATTATTCCAAATGAATGTTCCTAAACCATTCTGGGTTGATGCAGTTTCCACCGCCTGCTCCTCGATTAACCACATGCCATCTTCTGTTCTTCATGGTGAGACCCCGTACAATATTCTTTTTCCTAACAAAGCATTATTTCCTCTTGAACCTAGGATATTTGGTAGCACTTGCTTTGTTCGAGATGTTCGACAGTCAATCACTAAATTAGATCCCAAGTCATTAAAATGTGTACTTCTTGGTTATTCTCGATTTCAGAAAGGATATCGATGCTATTGTCCAAGTCTTAATAAGTATCTTGTTTCCATTGATGTTGCCTTTCTAGAAGAAACACCATACTTTCCATCTTCTCCTGTAGATCGTCAGAAGGATGATGATGATGATGATTTGTTAGTTTATACCTTCACCACCCCTACACCTATATCTGAACCAGCTCCTGTCTTTGACCCCATCACTATTCTTGCGCTTCCCGCATCTGCTTCTATCTCTAATCTTGCTCCTGTCAAAGTCTACTCTCGTCGTCCACCTCCTCTTGCTTCATGTCCGACACCAACTTCTTCGTCATCAGATCCTGTTTCAAGGGATGATCTTCCTATTGCATTGCGAAAAGATTAACGGCAGTGTACTTATCCTGTTTCTTCTTTTGTTTCTTATGATCATTTGTCACCTTCATCATGCTCCTTTATTGCTTCCTTTGATTCTATTACTATCCCTAAAACTGTTCATGAAGCTCTTTCTCATCCTGGTTGGCATAATGCGATGATAGAGGAGATGAATGCCTTAGATGACAATGGTACTTGGGAATTGGTAGATTTACCTTTAGGGAAACAGGTTATTGGATGCAAATGGGTGTTTACTGTTAAATTTAATCCATATGGATCAGTTGCTCGAATAAAAGCTCGTCTGGTTGCTAAAGGATATACTTAGACCTACGGAGTTGATTATTCTGATACTTTTTCCTCTGTTGCTAAGTTTACCTCTATTCGGCTGTTTATCTCTATGACAACTATTTATGATTGGCCTTTGCATCAACTAGACATCAAAAATGTTTTTCTTCACGGAGATCTTCAGGAAGAGGTATATATGGAGCAACCTCCTGGGTTTGTTGCTCAGGGTGAGTATAGGAAAGTATGTTATCTTCGCAAATCTCTGCATGGTTTAAAACAGAGTTCTCGTGCTTGGTTTGGAAAGTTTAGTCAGGTTGTTGAGAGATTTGGTATGCTGAAATGTAAAACTAACCATTCTGTTTTCTACAAACGATCTGCAACTAACATCATTCTTCTAGTTGTGTATGTGGATGATATTGTTATTACTAGGAGTGATAGTATGGGCATCACATCTCTTAAGTCTTTTCTCCATACCCAGTTCCACACAAAAGACTTAGGGATGTTGAAGTATTTCTTGGGGATTGAAGTTACAAGAAGCAAACGAGGTATATTCCTCTCTCAGAGGAAATATGTGCTCGACTTATTAACTAAGACAGGGAAATTGGGGGCAAAGCCATGTAGTGCTCCGATGGTTCCTAATGTGAAGCTTACGAAAAATGGTGAACTATTTGGAGATCCTAAAAAATATAAAAGATTGGTCGGGAAGTTGAACTATCTTATGGTGACTCGTCCAGATATTGCATATTCAGTACGTGTTGTCAATCAGTTTATGGCCTCCTCAACAGTTCATCATTGCGCAACTTTAAAGCAGATCTTGTGTTATTTGAAAAGACCCCTGAACGTGGTATATTATATGCCAATCATAGTCACTCTCATGTTGAATGTTTCTCAGATGCAGATTGGACAGGTTCCAAGGTAGATAGAAGATCCACATCAGGCTATTGTGTCTTTGTCGGAGGAAATTTAATATCATGGAAGAGCAAGAAGCAAAATGTCATGTCACGATCAAGTGCTATGGCACAAGCTGTTTGTGAAATAATATGGATATATCAGCTCCTGACTGAAATAAGCCTTGAAACTTCAGTACCAGCAAAATTATAGTGTGATAAACAAGCGGCTCTTCATATTGCATCTAATCCAATATTCTATGAACGAACGAAACACATTGAGATCGATTACCATTTCGTCCGTGAGAAACTACAGTAAGGTCTGATTTCCACTAGGTACGTGAAGACTAGAGAACAATTAGGAGATATCTTCACGAAGACTCTGACTGGGATTCGAGTTGATTATCTTTGTAACAAGCTGATTATGATCAATATCTATACTCCAGCTTGAGGGGGAGTGTTATAGATGTATATTTGGTAGTTATAGGTTATATATATTTAGAAGTTAATTTCCAGGATTATAGGGATCACATTGATATTGTATCCTAATATAGATTGATCACATACCTAGTTTAGAACAACTACCTAGTTTAGAACACTACAAGTGTATATAAATATGTATCCTTTTAAGCTAATAATGAGAAGTGTGAATATTCATTACGTTTATTTTACATCCTTTAATAATTTTCTTTTAATTTCATAACGCTCACCAACATTGTTCTCTTTTTGATTGCTATGTTTTCATGCTTCTGCTACATATGTAACGAACTGATTAAGCAATGATAATCTGCATTCACTATTGATAGGTTACTCAAATAGAGCTTGGCCTCTCTCAAACCAAGAACAAGAAACTTGTTGGGAGATCGTACAGCAAAACATACATTTAAGATTAATAACATAATAATAAAATCACACCACATAAAGAGATACAATATTTATGTGGTTCGGCATAATCTTCCTATATCCACGGATGAGAGAAATCTACTATAGTTTCATGAACATGATATACAAGAGTACACAACACCATAAACCCAGTACATAAAATAGAGCGAAAAAAATCCTAGCTTCTAACCACGTTCAACCCAATACTTAGAGTAGAAACAATCCCAGTTTCTA